GGGCGCCGGGGAGCCGGTGAGGGATGGAGGGAGGGGCGGGGAGGGGGAGAGGAGGAGAAGTGGCCGCGGCTGCGCATCCCCGCCCTGCCCCGCACGAGCAGGTGTCCCCAGGGGCGGGGGCAAATGTGCGAGCCCGGGGGAGGGTGGAGCGAGGGGAGTGGCCGAGGAAGGGGAGTGTGCACACGGGTAGGAGAATAGGTGTGTGAATGGGGGGGGTGAGAGGGTGAGGATGGAAGGTGCGTGGTCAAAGACGCAGGTGCACCTGGGAGGGAGAGGCTTGTGCAAAACGGGAGTGTGCAAAGAAAGAGCTACACAAGGGTAGGAAGTGTGAGGGAGGTGAGTGAGCCAGAGATGGACTCAATAAACACTTTTACACAAAAGAGCGAAAAGTGTGCACGGTGAGGGACCATGGAAAAGAGATGAGTGTGTAAGGGATGGAATCGGATTGTATGAGAAACAGAAGTGTGTAATTGTAGTGTGGTGAAGAAGGTAAGTGAGCAAGAGAGACAAGAGGGCTAAAGGGATGAGAGTGTCTTTCCTGGTACTCTCCTGCCCCACCACACTACACTGAACACACACACACACAGACACACACACACACACTTAGCTCTTTGCTTTTATGAGGGCCTTGACCCTGAGATCCAGTTCTACCCCCTCATCACATTATTCCTCCCTTACACTTGCGTCCTCCCTCTCCTCCCCTTTCCAACCCTCAGGGAAAAGGGATTCCAGGGGAGCCCACTGGGTTAAACACATTGGGAAAAAATTAATTAGTTAAAGAGTAATTAACAGGAGAAGGGAGGGTATAGAACCAGGGACAGACTCCCATACTAAGGATTCTCAATAGAAAGTGAATAAGGTGAGTAATGCTCTTATGAAGCATTCAAATGTTTTGGATGGATGAATGAATGAATCCGAAAAAGGGGCTGGAACCCAACCAGACATAGAGGATAACTTCTATTCTAAAGATAGTGAGCAGTAGTGGGCTTATGTGGAAAGTGAGGCTGAAGTGGACCCTGCTGGTGCAGGAAGGAAGTTTGACATACTCAGAGGCACTTATCCTTCCAGAACGTTTACAAACCAACCGGTCCTAGCAACAGAGCCAGTGAAACTCACCTCACAAACCCCTTAGCCAGGTCAGACCTTGAGGTTTTTCTTACTAGTGTCCTGGCTGCCCTTGTCAGCAAGGGCCCAGAGCTACAACTATCAGAATGCAAAGAGGGGGAATTTGTACTGACGTGTCTTCCATTTTGCCTTGGAGCATGGTTTATATTAGTCTCAAGCCTGAACTTTTACATTCTTGGTGATATGCTTAAAAAGAATAGAAGTCAAGGTGAAAGGAGTGGCAAATAGAGTAAGAAAATGGTTTCAGGTTTCAGACAATTTCTCACAAATGAGACACTGATCCCTTCCCTCCCTTACTCCCATCCCCCAGAGGGCTGGGAGATAGAGAAGTTGGAGCCAGTAAGACAAGGGAAGCCAGAGAAACCTGCCTGTTGTCTACCTGGATGTCTGAGCAGAGGTCATTTGAGAAAAGTCCGTGTTCTGGGCAGGGGCAAGGGCTAAGAAAGCTTACAGTGGAGGAAAAGAGGGAAGCACGATGACCCCAAAAAAGGAGTCACAAGGTTTCCAGAAGGGCACAAGTCATTCTCATGCAATACAGTGGTCTGGGGTGGTAGTGGTGGTAACTTCCTTGCACATGCTGGCTCCTTTATGTATCCGTCTATATACGAGGTATATAATATCATACACATATATATACACACATACACACATATATCATAGCATATTAGTGCTGGAAAGAACCTTAAAGTTCAAGTATTCCTGTCTCCCGCTCTTCAATAATTTCTCTGCCAGAAGGCATCTGGTCTCTGCCTTAACACTCCCAGGGAGGGGTGGAAGTTGGGAAGACGGGAGGGCACTGACTGCCACTCTTCCTGTCGGATCACTGTATTAATCTGCCTTCCATCAATCCGTTAATTCTAGTTTTGCCCTCAGATGGGCATTGTCTACTCTCTATTTTATAGGACCACACTGTTGGCTACATCTTTACAGATAGCCTTATCATTACTTTAAAGGGCTAGTGACCGAAACACCAAAAAAACCCACAAACAAAAACCCCACATACACACAGGAAGCAGGCACTCTGTAAAAATTTGTTGAATGAAAGAGTGAAACAAAGACACAAATGAGAATATGTTTTCCGATGGCGGTGGAGCAGAAAGGCGACAGCACCACCTCTCGTCCCCCGACCGCGCCCACCCTGCCATGCAGAGAGACAGACATGTAGCGAGACTAGAGCTGCACTCAGGCTCGGCCCGCAGCCCAGAGTTGGGATCTGGGTGGCCCGGGTTGCCATGGCACTGCCTTGGACTCCACCTTCTCTCGTCTCCCCCCGACTCCCCGCCAGGGTTATGGCAGCCAGTCACACGTCCTGCCGCGTAACCACACCTCTGCTCCTCAGAGCAATGTCAAGCGGTCACGTGTGATAGCAACAGATCACGTGGCCGCCATTGCCCCTCCGCCCCCTTCCCCTTCCCGCCCCCTTCCCGGTCTGAGCCGCTCCCGGCTGCCCCTTTGCGCATGAGCGGCTGGTCACGTGCCCCGAACGTCCGGCAGTCGCCCCGCCTCCCCAGTTTCCGCGCGCCTCTTTGGCAGCTGGTCACATGGTGAGGGTGGGGGCCGGGGGGCCGCTCTAGCCCGCGGCCTGTGTCTATGGTCGGGCCCGTAGCGTCCAGCTGCCCCGGACCGAGCTCGAGTGTATGGCGCCACAAGAACCGGCTCCGGGGCCCCGATAACGGGCCGCCCCCGCAGCTCCCGGCACGGGGTGAGGTGAGTGCGGCCGCTTCCCAGGAATGGAGACCATTCTTGCCCTCCTCGGCTTCCTGCGCGGACTGGTTATGGAAGGGTCGCTCGAGGGCGGGAAGTGGGGCAGGGGGTGATGTGGTCCTTTGTGATCGTAGGGAGGTGTAATTTTAGGGACTGGGGTGTAGGATCTTTGATGCTGGGGGTGTGTCGTGTGGGGTATCCCCTGTGCGGGACGCGATGGTCCCAAAGGAAAAGGCATTTTTTCTTCTAGGGCCTCACGTGGCAGGAGGGGTTGGGGTTAGAGTCATTGTGTTACCTGAGGGGCTGGCCTCAGGGAAGACTGGGGAAGGGACGGGATGCTGGCGGTGCTGTCTTCGTGATGTCTTTTGCGTGAGTCACTTTGTTGTTGCAGGCTCATTCCATGCGAACTCTGGAAGGGAATTTCGGTGGTAGCAGTTTCTGTGATTCTAGGGTCTCCTCTGATCTGAGAATGGCTACCCCTCGATACGAGCCAGTGGCTGAGATTGGTGTTGGTGCCTATGGGACGGTGTACAAGGCCCGTGATCCCCACAGTGGCCACTTTGTGGCCCTCAAGAGCGTGAGAGTCCCCAATGGAGGAGGCGCTGGAGGGGGCCTTCCCATCAGCACAGTTCGTGAGGTGGCCTTACTCAGACGGCTGGAGGCTTTTGAGCATCCCAATGTTGTCCGGTGAGAAAGAAGGTAGAGGGTGGGGAGTGGGTGGTAAAGGGGGAAAGACAGCCTTAGGCAGGGAGTGGCGGTCAGCGGAGAAGTGGAGACCCTGAGGCAATAGGGGAGGCCATGTTGGGTCAAGGGGGATTGATCAGTGAGTGACGATTTGTTCTGGCCAGGCTGATGGATGTCTGTGCCACCTCCCGAACTGATCGGGAGACCAAAGTGACCCTGGTGTTTGAGCATGTGGACCAAGACCTAAGGACGTATCTGGACAAGGCACCCCCACCAGGCTTGCCAGTGGAGACCATCAAGGTGAGAGGGGTGGGCAGACACTGAGAGGTAGATTGGGACCTTTGTAGTAGAGCCTGTTGTGATTTCAGGTATGGTGCCAGTTTCCAATTCCTCTGTACCTCCCCCTTCCAAACCAGGATCTGATGCGCCAGTTCCTAAGAGGCCTAGATTTCCTTCATGCCAACTGCATCGTTCACCGAGACCTGAAGCCAGAGAACATTCTTGTGACAAGTGGCGGGACAGTCAAGCTGGCTGACTTTGGCCTGGCCAGAATCTACAGCTACCAGATGGCACTGACACCTGTGGTCAGTAGAAAGATGGCAGCCAAAATGGGTTCAGGTTGGGGGTAGGAAAGTGATTGCCCATAGCAGTTGAGAAGGCATGTGCGTCGTGGTAACCCATAGGGCCCTCATCCGCTCTTCTTATTCCGCTTAGGTTGTTACACTCTGGTACCGTGCTCCGGAAGTTCTTCTGCAGTCTACGTATGCAACACCCGTGGACATGTGGAGTGTTGGCTGTATTTTTGCAGAGATGTTTCGTCGAAAGTATGGGACCCGAGTATCCTATCTTGAATTTCCCAAATCTCTTATTCATCAAGTACTTCCATACCCTGTCCGTTCTCTCACTTGAGTGCTACTGACCACCTTGTCCACAACCAGAAGCTCTGAATGTCCTTGAATTAGGAACTTGATGTGCCTTTATTCTCCATACCATCTGTTTTGAGCCACTAAGCATTAATCATTCCACTACCATATCTTTAAAAATAACTGCTACCCTGTGTCTCTTCTCACCTTAGGCCTCTCTTCTGTGGAAACTCTGAAGCTGACCAGTTAGGCAAAATCTTTGAGTAAGTGACCAGCAAGGGGGAAAAGAATTTTCCATTCTTAGTCCTTCTCTTTTTTTAAATTTTTTTGGTGAGGAAGATTGTCCCTGAGCTAACATCTGTACCAATCTTCTGCTCTTTTGTATGTGGGATGCCCGCCAAAGCGTGGCTTGATCAGCAGTGTGTAGGTCTGCACCTGTGATCTGAACCCACAAACCCCAGCCGCCGAAGTGGAGTGCGTGAACTTAACCACTACGCTACCTGGCTGGCCCCCAAGTCCTTCTCTTTCTGCTGAGCCCTGGATGGCAACTGGCTGTGCCCCTGGAGATGGGGGCTGGAGAAGGACCCTCCTGACCAGAATTCTCCTGTTTCTCCATAGCCTGATCGGCCTACCCCCAGAGGATGACTGGCCCCGAGATGTGTCTCTACCCCGTGGAGCCTTTTCCCCCAGAGGGCCCCGCCCAGTGCAGTCAGTGGTGCCTGAGATGGAGGAGTCTGGAGCACAGCTGCTTCTGGTACTGGGCTTGGGCATGGGCACCCAGTGAGATTGGGGTGAAAAACGGAGCAGTATAAAAGGGACCCAAACCATAGATAGTGGTTACTGAGACTTGGTTGGTGGATGGGTTCATTTTCATTGTTGGCTGTGAATGGCCGTCCACAAAGAGGGATATAGAAAATAGCCTGGGTACTGTTGTGGGTGAGCAGAAGTCTTTTTCCCTCATGGCTTTCTGACCTTTGCCTCCCCTTTCAGGAAATGCTGACTTTTAACCCACACAAGCGAGTCTCTGCCTTCCGAGCCCTGCAGCACTCTTATTTACAGAAGGCAGAAGGTAACCCAGAGTGAGCAGTGGAGGGGCTGCAACAGAACCAAGAGAGGAGAAGCTGTCATTGCCCTTCTCTGAACACTTGAGTGGAGAGCCCCCCGCGGAGAAGGCCCCTTCTGCCTTCACCTTTGAGGCTGTGGAGACGTCTCCCCAACTTTTTACAGAGAATATTTTGCTGCCTTAATGACATTCCCCTCCCACCTCTCCTCTGAGGCTTCTTCTCCTCCTGCCCCTATCTTCTTATACCGAGGGGTCTGTCCCTTGTTCTTCCCTTCCCTACCCTGATATCAGGACCCTTTTTTATACAGGAAAAACAAAACAAAACAAATATGGTCTTTTTTTTTTTTTGAATGTTTCCTTCTCTGATTGGCTTTGCCATTTGTGGATGTGGGAAAACCACTGGGAAAATGGAACTTCCTTGCAGAATTGTAAGGCCTCTCCTCAGGTCACAGGGCCTCCATGGTCGGGGAGCCCCTCGACTGGCAGCAGACAAGAAAAGGCACTTAAGCTGCTTCTTTGAATATAGAGTTTAAATGGCTTTTATTTTTATATTCACTGAACTCCCCCAAACTGGCTCCTGCTTATTACAAGCAGGAGTTCTTGGTGGCTTTCTCCCGGGCTCTGTCCCCGATTCACCCTTGGAGCCAGGCCAGGATGTGGAAGGGAGAAGAGGGGCAACAGAGCCAGGAGTGACTCCAACCCCATCCCATCTCATGCACTCCCAGGAGGCTCCCCTGTCCACTTGGGGAGAGAGGGGAGAAGTTCTTTATTCTTTATAATCTTGCTCCCACTAAAACATGTGAAGGCGTAAAGCCCAGCTATTAAGTCGTCTTTAGGCGATGTGGCAAAGGGCCTTTCCTCTTTCTCAAACAAAAAGGGCTATAGACCCTAGGTTTTCCCTAAGGGAGGGAGAAAAAGCTTAGGGAGAACAGAGAGCAGGAGAGAAATCAGAAGGCTCCACAGTCTCATAGAAAGGCACTGGGGTTGGCTCGAGGATCCTTCTGATTCCGAAATCTCATCGCTAGCCAAACACCCAGGATCTGTAGAAACAAAAGGAGAGAGATAAGCAACCAATTCTGAATCTGGGGCTAAGACTTACAGACATACTGAAAGGGTGTATATGAAGGAACTGGAGAATGTTACCTCTGTAAAGCTAAAGAAGAGTCCAACACCCCCCAGGATTTTCAGGGCTTCATCTGAATGCTTAAGAAACTTTTCTCCACACATCTGGCACGTGGAGCTCCGGCTCTTGCAGATCTGAGGATGAAACGTGTGTGTGTGTGTGTGGAGGTTGCAGAGTTGCTAAGCTGCTCCATCCCAATACCACGGTGAATGGCTCTAGAAATCATTTACTAGTTCAGGGTCGGTATCCTACAGACAAATCCCACTTAGCTAATTCTTTAGCCTCTGTATTCATCCTCCCTCCCCCCTCCAGCACACAGTCCCAGTACAAGAGAGCTACTAGAGAGAGGCAGTCACATTCAAATGTTTAAATCTGCCAATTTGGGCATTGTCCTTCCCCAGTTTTCCTACCCACCGATCCCCCTGCTCCCTCGCCAACTCACTGCAGTGCAGAAAGCATAATCTTGTTGATACAGGGTTGTAAGGTTGAACAAGCCACAACAATCAAAACTTCTTTCCAGTTCATCCCGGGTCTTGTTGCTCAGGACCCACCAAGAAGCATTGATGACATCTGTCTGGAGGATATAGGCAGAGGGAAATTATTTGATGCTGCTAACCTTAAGAACCCCCCTACATCCTGATCTCAGTTCAAGTGCCTTAATTTCCCTGTTCCAGCAAAGGGAAACGTTCCTGAGAAGCAAGGTGTGTCACAGTTATACAGACACGATAATAAGTATCCACTTAAGGTTCTCCTAGATCATCACCATGGAAAATTAGCCAGACATCCCAGAGGAAGCAAATGGCTCAAAAGTCTGGAAGTAGTGGACCTAAGAATGATCTCTGGGGCCAGACTGAGAGGAGGGAGTTAAGAGGTTAAAGAGAGAAACAGAACAAAGCAAGTACTTGAAAGGGCATTCCCTTACCTGTTTGCTTCGGTTAATAGCCAGACATGAGCAAGAGATTCCAAACTGGAAGACGAAGACCAGACCAAGGATGATCATGTACTAAGCGGAAGAGTTATGGGAAAAAAAAGTCCTAGATTCCTTTATGTTCCACCTATGATAACCATCTGATCTAATCTATTCATAGAACTTACCCAACCATGTCAGGTGAAAACAAAATCATCAGCTCTTGTTTCATAGAGTATGGTATAGGGCAGGGCAAGGAGACATGTCCCCAAGATCCCTGAGGTTGTTACCCTTCTAACTTCTTCCTAGTGGTCTCAGCCCTCCCAAGAGCCCCGGTGCCCCCATCACTTCAGGTCAGGATACAAAGAATAGCAGTACTTGGTGGTGGTTGACAGCACCCACCAGTCCAGCCACCGCGATGAGGAGAAGGAAGACTCCCACAGCAATAACTCCTCCGATGATGTGGATGCTGGACACCAGACCCAGGCCCTTACCCCAAGCAGCCACTCCAATGAGCAACAAGCCTACCAGCTACAGGAAACAGAGAGCAGGATACGTCTCAAAGAATTCCAGCATGCAGCACAGCCAATGGCCATACAGGGGGGCTTGGATAAAACAGGAGAACTTGAGTTGTGTGTGACGAGGTCCTGTCAGGACCAGAAGCATCCCTGGTCACTCCTCCCATCGTAGGTCAGAATGGCTGGGATGGGGGTGAGGGGTAGCAGGGATAGTAGTCTATGAATATAAAAACGGAACCCTTAGCTTCAACTAACACTCCTATTTGGGGAGAAACTGAAGCTCACAGGAGGGAGGCACGGGACTTTATGCCCACAGCCTTCATTTCATTCCCCCCACCCCCAGACAAACCCTGTGGTCACCGGAAGTCTCCCCTCTTCCCACGGAAGTCCCCAGGAATTCCCTCGTCGCCGGAAGTTCCCGGGAATCTTCCCGGAACCCCCAGTACACCCCTCTCCCCACCGGAAGTCCCCTAGAGATTCTCCCCACTCGCCTTTCCGCCCCGACCTTCCCCTACCTCCAAAACCTTACCATGTAGACCACGTTGAGCGCGCAGAGCGCATTCTTGGAGCAGGCAAAGCCACCGCAAACCATCTCCCCAGCTTTGGGGACCCAAGTGGTCCCAAGGTCTTGGGGGGAGGGTCTTGGGGACCGTCTTCTTGGACTCTGACGGCTTCTGTCTCTTTAAATCGAGTCCAGCCAAACCCAGTCCTCTGCGCCTGCACCGCCCCACCCCTGCCTCTGGATTGGCGAAACTCGAGGCTAATCCAGGACGTCGAGGCCCTGAGTACCAATCAATCTGCATTGCGTCACTGACCCGCCTGCCGGCCCCTCCTTTAGGTTCTTTATTGGATAAAACTTAAAACTGGGGGCAGGGCTTCTAGAGATTCTCATAGGGACCAGAGCCTCAACTTCAAAACCCCGGATTGAAAGCGGAGCTTTCTGTGGCTTGAGCTCGAAGAGGGCTGGTCTGGTGGAGGACGCTCTGCAGAAACTCCGGTGAAGGGCCAGAAGGGGCGGCTTCGAGAGCAGGGAGAAGGGCTCCTCCCCTTGAGGGAGGGCCCTTCCCCGCCCCTTCCCCTTGTCCTGCAGTGACCTCACGATGACGCCATTGTTTGTTGTTATTGCGTCACACTCCGGAACACCCAGAGGAGCAAAATATTGAGCCATTTAGCCTGACCACAGAGGCGCCGGATCACCTAGCAACACCTAGCAAATCCTCACATGTTTGCAAGTGTGTCCACTAGTACTCGTATCCTGTGCAGTATTTCCTCCTAATGGGGTGTGAATATGCTAGAAATTCAGTGTGAAAAACAGCAGCCTCAGGCTGCCACATTCCTGTATGTGACAAAGCCACAGGTACAGACATGGGTGTGCTCAGCATCTTCAGAGCACGTGCCTGATCCAGGGCTTGCAAAAAATGACAAAAGGCGGGATCTGGAATATGAATAAATATGAGAGGAGGTGGAGTCTCCACATTTTCACTCTGGGGGTGGGCACAGTGGTGGATCAATATATACTTATTATTGAATCAGTGCTTTGACACACCGCCCTTTTCATGGGGATGGGAAAAGGCATAATCTCTCCTTCCCCCCAAGAGAAGGAAGCAGTCTGGTAGGAACACAAATGAAAAACCTCCCTCCAGCTCCACAGAATGATTGAAATTTGTGTGTGCTTAGATCCTGTGACTGCATAAGCAGTATGGTCTTACTGCTAGAGTTAGGGCTTTCAACTTTGCCACTCACCAACTATGTAACCTTTGGCCAGTTACTGAAGCTCTCCGGGCCTATTTCCTCATCTATACAATGGGGATAAATAACCATACACCTACATCTTGGGTGGTTGTGAGAATTGAATGAGTTAATATTGCAGGATGCTTGGAACAGTCCCTGGCACAGAGTAAACACTCTGTTAGTGATTATCATTCAGGCTGTTTTACAGCGTCCTGTGGATAATCCCAACCTCTGTTCCCTTGTCTCCAACTACACAAATATTCACACAGTTATAATCCCCTATCCTTTGTAAATTAATATCAAGAAGACATGCAGGAGAAAGACATTTGTCAGGGCCAGAAAGGCTTGAGTCCTGAAACAAAGCCATTAGATCAAACTGCCCACCTTCCCCCCTTATCCCCCTGCATTTTCATTCTGCCCTTCAGTGCCTCATCCACCCTCTTCTCTTTCAGGTCCTAAATCAAAGGCAAGACAGTGGTATTAGGGGTAAGGTTAACTGGTTGGCAGGCATCTTGGTTGGGTGATGTAGTGAAAAGGGCATCAGAAGTATAATCAGAAGACCTAGATCCATATCTTTGTTTCACCTCTTACTGGCGTCTCTGGCTTCAGTTTTCTTTTCTGCAGAATAGGGGTAATAATCCTACCCCTCAGGCCTGTCATAAAGATGATATATATGAAAGTGTTGCAAACTATTAAAAGTGTTATAAACAAGTTCATTATTTTATGAAAGTAATTGAACATGGCATGGTGGTTTTGTCTGGTTATAGGTTACTGTCCTCCTCCATGACCCGTTCTTCCCATAACTACTTGGCCCTTTTTTTTTTTTTTTTGGAGGAAGATCAGCCCTGAGCTAACATCTATTGCCAATCCTCCTCCTTTTTTTCCCTTTTTCTCCCCAAAGCCCCCCAGTAGATAGTTGTATGTCATAGTTGCACATCTTTCTATGCACATCTATGTGGGACGTGGCCTCAGCATGGCCAGACAAGCGGTGCCTCGGCGCGCGCCCGGGATCCGAACCCGGGCCGCCAGTAGCGGAGTGCACGCGCTTAACTGCTAAGCCACGGGGCCGGCCTGTACTCGGCCCTTTTAAGCAGGAGGTGGCTCCAGTGGGGTAGCTGACTGAGGAGGGTTACACTGCAAGATGTAAGCATGCAAGACTTGTGGACGTGTAGAGTAGGGGGTGAGTACAACTGTAAGCTGGAATCCAGCAGGGCCGTAAGAGTGACAGACCAAGTGTATATGGACTCCTGTGAGAGTCTGAGACTGAACACAAATCTGTATGTTACCAAGAATTTGGGATCACACCTGGGACCTGGCTTGCCACATTCTGCCTGCACCAACTCATCTTAATTAGCCACCTCCCACAGGAAGCCCTAGGAGGCTTGTTAAGGTCTCTCCATCCACCTGGCTGTGGAATCGTCGTCGCAGGGGCTGGCTGGCAGAGCTGATGGGCCAACGCTAGAGGGGGTGGGAGGTGAGGAGGTAGTGCTGTCCCAGGCTGTGGGTTTGAAACTCACCAGTCAGGAAGTGAGGCCGACAGACGGAAGGGCGGGCAGGGGCGGGGAGTTCTGGGGCACAGCAGAGGGGGCCTTCTGGGGCTTGGGGGCTGCAGGGTCATGGCCTTCAGGGCCAGAGGTTGCTATTAGCCTGGCAAGACAGGTCTGGGCAACATGCATGCCCAGAGGCAGCTGGCTGTAGCTGCAGTGAGAGCAGAAGTCAGACGACATGAGGTGGCCAAGCAGGCTCTTAGCCGCCTCAGGAAGCTGGCAGAGAGGGTGAGTGACCCCGACCTTCGGGACAGCATCCAGGCCTCACTGGACAGCGTACGAGGTAAGAGAAGGGTTAGCTCCCAACTTGGGTGTCTCGGGGACCAGCAGGGGTATAGATGGGTTTGCCGGGTCATACATCACTTCCCAATCAGCCACTTCCTAGTCCCCAGGATGGAGCTGGCACTCGGGGGGAAGAATACATTTGGAAAGGATGGAAAGAGACATAGGAGGTGTCATTCCTCCTCTTTCCCCAATTCTGATCCTTCTCCCAAGGGATCAAAATACAGGTCGCTGCTGAGGTGACCTTCTTGGCAATAGAGAAGTGGGGGAGCGTGGGGAAGACAGGCCGTAACAGACATATGGTCATCTTGGACCCTGCCTGGGGAGTCCTCGGCAGGAAGCAGTCTGGGAGAGGAGGCTCTGGGACTGGATAATGTGTTGATTCCCAGGACCCACGAAGGATCGGTGACCTCTTTTTCTCCAGCTGTAGAGAGAAACACATACACACACATGGAAATCCACCATGTGGAGAATCTCAGGCTCCCAGGCACACACTAACCCTCACACAGCATGCTCTGCACAGCCGAAGTGCAGAGAAGTCCCCAAGACTCTTCTCCGTCCCCTCTCTTCCCCGTGCTCCTGTTCCTGTCTTCCCCCCACACACCTTCCGCTCTACCTCCTTAGTGCCATTAGAGCAAGTGATGACAACACAGGGAGGAAGTGCTGCCATGGCAACACCATCCGCCACATCCTCCTGCCCACCCCTGCCTTCAGTCCTGTGGTGGGGCCCTGGCAGGAACAGCTTCTCTCCGTCCACAAGGCCCCACCAGTCAAGAACTAGTGGAACTGGAGGTCATCTCCAGTCTGCTCTCATCTCATTCACCTCTGAGGTGGCAAGGAGCTAACAAAAGTGGGCTTCTTTGCTCATGAAAGGTGTCTGGGAGAAGTACATCCTCCATCATATATCCTGCTCTCTGCCAGCCTCTCCGTCCTTAACTGCCTACCTGGGGTGGGGGGAGGTCAAGAGACCATTCTTTCCATCAAGAATGCCAGACCTTTCTGATGGCAGAGGCCACCAGAGCAGGACGTGCGGAAGGAACAGTTAGGTTCAGGTTCCTAAGGGGACAGTCTGATCCCCTCCCCACTGCCCGTCCAAGGCTAGTGCCCCTCTCCTCTGTCCCCCACCCTTTGCCAAGAAGTACGGCTGACACCTTCCCTACAGCCTTAGTGGCTGGAAAGGCAGACCTAGGGGGAGTGGCCCCTGGGGCCTCCTAAGGAGGAACTCCAAGCTCCGCCCCTGTAGGAAAAAAAAGGAGGGGTGGGGAGGAAAAAGGTTTAGGCCTGGTAGAGGAGCTCCCTTAGCTCTGGAGAAGGAGGGAGGGGGAGGAGGTGGAGGCTGAAATCTCTGACAAGACTCCACTCTTCATAAGCGACTTGTTCCACTCTTTCCCTAAGAGTCAGGATTCTGTTCCCATTGAACATAAAGAAAAACTGAGGGCACCAAAGGAGGGAAGGGAAATTAAGCCAGACTCAACAAATCTCCTTCACCCTCTTTCAGAAAAGACTACTGAAGGGTCTTCTGTCCTGGGGATGGGGTCATCCTGGCGCAGCAGGGAGGGGACAGGGGAGGGCGAAGCTGCTGACCTCGGGACAGCACCGCGGAGGGATTGGGTACAGGTCTCGGGAGAACAAAGGACACCCAGCAGCCTGCCACCGCCCCCCACCCTCACCCCCTACCAGGCCGAGCACGCCGCCGGCTCCTACCTCCAAGAGCCGCCCACGACAGCACTTATTATAGTCTCGGCTGCGTCAGGAGGGTGGGACGCCAAATTAGGGGAACGCTGAGACTCCCCGAGTCCCGGGGAGGGTCTCCAAGGCTGCGGGCAGTCCTCGCCCCACTCCCGCCCCACCCCCGCCGGTCTCAGCCTCTGTTCCCCATTGGCCTAACCCCTTCATCCTTCTCCCTGGGCTGGAGGACAGTGAGCCTTGAACTCCAGGGTCCCTAGAGGGGTGGGGGGTACAGAGCAGAAGTTTTCCATTCTGTCTCTTCTTCACCCTTCTAAAAGAGCCCCATCCCAAAAACCTCAGGAGACTGAATGGGAACCCAAAAAGAGGCCAGCTCCCGCTGCCCCAACTGAGGGGCTCCTTATATTCGTGAGCGCCAGATACCCCACATGTGGGTAACCAGACGTGAGAGTGGTGCCTCCATTAACCCAAATCCCCTGGCGGGTCCCCCCACCCACCATACACACCGATCCCTCCTCTCTGCTTATCCCCGCTGTTTCTGAGGCACGCTTGGAGCTACGGTTGCTATGGAGACCGGATGCATTTTGATGGTGGGGGGGTGTCAATCTGTAGACATATTCCTTCTCCTTCCACCTTGAGCTGGAGCCTTTGACTCACTTTTCGGCCTGGGCTCCTCCAGCCTCCAGATCTCTCCCCTACGGAGGCCCCCCTTCCTTGTACCCTGCTAAGTTCCGCGTTTGTCCGAATCCCCAGAGAACACTTTCCAAGTTCACTTTGGGACAGTTGGGTTCAAGTCGTGGCCCCGTCAGTGTAATTGTGTGTGGGGGTGGGCGAGGGGGCTGGATCACAGAGAAAGGAATGCGTGCAAGTACCTGGGGGCGACAACGGGTCTTGGGACTGGGATTTCAGAGCTCCCCACTTTCCCACTTCAGCTTCCCCAGAATTGGCAGTGACCCCGAATTTGCTCCCTTTTCGCCGCGGACTGTCCACCCATAGACTTATTTTTACCCTTGTGCTTAAATGCCACACCCAACAGTTGCCTTCCCCGTCTTTTGCTAAGGGAGGGGGCTAGGTTGGTGGAGTAGGTGAGTCCAAGTTCCAGGAAATCCAGCCCAGGATTTGGAAGGGAAATCCAGTCCTGGATTTTGCACCGCCTTCGCAGACAGCCTTGCTGGTGGAGAGAAGGTGGGGGGGGAGATAGGGTGGGGGGGGGCGGGGGGCCGCCTCCTCCTCAATGTGAGGGGAGCGCCCGGACACAGCGCGCATCCGGACCCAGCCGAGCCCCGGCGAGCCCCCCGGACCCTTCACCCGGATCTCACGCCCCTCCCCTCCCAGACCCCAGACCCGAGGGTTCCCACCCTCTCCGGCTTCCCTCCTTCCTCCCCCGCCGGCGCCTGTATCTCCATCCCCAGCATCCTCCCCGCGCCCCAGAGAATCCCCCGCACGACCAGCCCCATTAGCTTCCCACCCTCCTAAAGACCCCCTCTCCGACCCCCATTCGCGGCCCCTGTCCTTTGAGTCCCCATTCCCCGCCCCTGCCTCCCCCGCACCGGTTCTTCTTCTCCCCAGCCTCGGGTCCCTCTTTTTTGCCCCCTTTTCCTCCCTCTCCTGTATTTGCCCCCACTCCTGTCCTCCCCGCCCTCCCCCGCCCATCTCAGCGCCCCCACCCAGGCCGGGGTGCACGGTCCGGCGCGCCTCCCTGGAGCAGCACCAAGGTCCCGGGGCTCCAACGGGGTGGGGGCGCAGGGCGGGGAGCATGGGGAGGGGGCGCCCCGTGTGATGGGAGGGGGGCGCAAGCGGAGGCGGCGGAGGCGGCGGCGACAGCGGAGCCGGGCCGGGAGCTCAGCGGGGTCCGGGGGCTGCGGGCAGCGAGCAGGGCGGCCCCATGGCCGGGCCCCCCTGAGGCAGTCCGGGGGAGTCCCCTCCCCTCCCCAGCTCGGGGGTCTCGGGGCCCCATGAGCCGGGGCGCGGGCGCGCTTCAGCGCCGGACAACGACCTACCTCATCTCACTGACCCTGGTCAAGCTCGAGTCGGTGCCTCCGCCGCCGCCTTCTCCGTCTGCGGCCGCAGCCGGCGCCCTCGGGACCAGAGGTGCCGAGACCGGGGATCCTGGCAGCCCCCGAGGCGCGGAGGAGCCGGGCAAGAAGCGGCACGAGCGTCTCTTCCACCGGCAGGATGCGCTGTGGATCAGCACCAGCAGCGCGGGCGCGGGGGGCGCCGAGCCCCCCGCCCTGTCCCCGGCTCCGGCCAGTCCGGCCCGCCCCGTCTCCCCCGCTCCCGGCCGCCGCCTCTCCCTCTGGGCCGCCCCTCCGGGGCCCCCGCTCTCCGGGGGGCTGAGCCCCGACCCCAAGCCCGGGGGCGCCCCCACCTCCTCCCGGCGCCCCCTGCTCAGCAGCCCGAGCTGGGGGGGCCCGGAACCCGAAGGCCGGGCGGGCTGCGGCGTCCCCGGCTCGTCCTCCCCGCACCCCGGCACCGGCAGCCGGAGGCTCAAGGTGGCGCCTCCTCCGCCGGCTCCCAAGCCTTGCAAGACCGTGACCACGAGTGGCGCCAAAGCCGGCGGGGGCAAGGGCGCGGGGAGCCGTCTGTCATGGCCCGAAAGCGAGGGCAAGCCCAGGGTCAAGGGGTCAAAGAGCAGCGCCGGGACTGGAGCTTCTGTCGCCGCCGCCGCCGCCGCCGGAGGAGGGGGAGCGGCAGCCACGACCTCTGGTGGGGTCGGGGCTGCGCCTGGAGCCCGAGGGAAGCTGTCCCCTCGGAAAGGCAAGAGTAAGACCTTGGACAACAGTGACTTGCACCCGGGACCGTCTGCCGGCTCTCCTCCTCCGCTAACCGTCCCAGCAACCCCGGCTCCAGCCGCTGCGGTCACCGCCACCTCCGCGCAGCCCACTGGGGCTGCACCTCCAATCACTCTGGAGCCTCCAGCTCCGGGGCTAAAACGGGGCCGGGAGGGGGGCCGAGCATCCACTCGAGATCGCAAGATGCTCAAGTTTATCAGCGGCATCTTTACCAAGAGCACGGGGGGGCCTCCTGGCTCCGGGCCCCCTCCCGGACCCCCGGGCCTGTCTTCTGGCAGCGGGTCCAGGGAGCTGCTGGGCGCAGAGCTCCGCGCCTCCCCTAGTGAGTAGGACCAGGCCCTGAAGACAGGGAGGGAAGGGCACCTGTAGTACTCGGCGTGGGGTTGGCGAGCGGGCCGCAGGACTGAACTAGGAGAGCTTCTCTCTTGGGTGGGCGGGAAGACCCAGGCTCACTCCTCTGCTAAGGACTGGGGCAAAGAATTAGAGGTCCTGAAGGGGGGTGAGGAGCTACGTTGTGCGACATGAGAGGCGACTTGATTTCAGAGGGACTCAGAAAGCCTCAGAGCTGTCTGGGAAAAGGATGCCCTTGGTCAGAGTGACTGTAGGAAATCGCACCCAGAGAAGCCCCAGACCCCACTCCAGCCTCAGCTGGACTCGGGGAGCGTGGAAACAGGGCTTTGCCCCGCCCGGAGGGACACTGAAGGTGAAGGGGATGAGGAAGCCTCAGTTTCTCCCGAGTACTTGGGGCAGGTGGTGTGAAAGTGACCTTGCGGGCAGCTCCTCGCCAGGCACAGGTCTTCCCCCGGGCTGAGAGCAGGCCAGTGGGGCAGCAGGGAGGGACTCCGTTTCTTTCCACGCGGTGAAGGCGGATTGGGCAGTGCAGGAGTGCGTGGGGGCTGGAACGTGCTGAGTACCTGAATGCGAAGTGAGAGGGGGCGGGTAGGAAGCCTCACTTCCCCCACCGCCCACCCTGGCCCCAGAGCAGCGTCGAAACTCCCAGGGGGCTGACCAGGAATGACTCAGGGGGGCGGAACTGCAGCAAAGGCAATTCTTACCCCCGGAGACTTGGGAGGGGGTAAGGAGAAGGTAGTGTTCTTTTTCTGGGGGTGTCTTTATCTTATTTTTTTCTGGAACAGAGAAGCGAGGGACTCTTGGTTCGGCTCACACTCCCCGGAGGGGAGGCGGGTCTGGGAGCGGGGGCGGCCCCCGGGGTTTGGCTCTGGAGCGGGTGGGAGCAGATGGCTCCGGATCCCAGAGTTCCCGCCGCAGCTGCGGCGCCCCGGGAACGTCCGGCCAGTGTCAGGCGCGGGGGCTGGACCCGGCGGGCCTGGCGGAAGGAGCATCCGTACCCCCACCCCCACCCCCGGCCTGTGGCTTCTCTCGGCCTGGGAATGGAGGCCTTCCCCACAGTTCTTTTGGAGGGTACTTGTGGGGAGGGTAAGGGAGAGGGAGGCATAGGAAAATGCAAGCTCCATTCCTTGGGCTGTGGAGAGGGGTCAGGGCCATCATGCCGTTGACCTTGAAAAAGGGGAGGGATATCCCTCACCTCAGTTTCTCTCTTGTGAAATGGAGTTGAGGAAAATCCACTCCCTTCTATGTCCCAGCCCCTTCTCCCAGGATTTGCCATGGGAATCAGTTGGGCGGGTGGAGAGGACACCCTCTTCTATTCTCCTTCCAGAGGGAAGAACCTGCTGCTGTCAGAGCCCTGGTGCCCGGGTCTGGGGCAGGAACCTACGTTTTGGGATGTGCTTTAAGGGAGATGCCAACTGAAGTATTTTTGTCTTGCTGGCTCCGTTGCTAAGCAACCACTGAGCGGCAGCAACAGCTGTGGGGAGAGGACTAGGATGGGAGGACTGGGGACCACTCTCAAACCTAGCCTTTCCACTCCACTCTCCAGCCCAGGCAGGGTCCTAGGGGTTAAGAGAAGCTGCAAAAGATGGAGGGGTGGCTGCGGGTTGGGAGTCCTCCTGAGCCTGGAGCATCCCCTCTTATGGTTGTTTCTCCATTACAGAGGCTGTGGTCAATAGCCAGGAATGGACTTTGAGCCGCTCCATTCCTGAACTGCGCCTGGTAGGTAAACCAGTCTGCTTGTCTGTACCAAGGCTGACTTCCCACCCACTGTACTCTCAACTCTCCCCCCTTCCCCTCTTCCTTTCCCCGACTCTGTGAGAACGGGGAATAGTTTTCCAGTTCTCCTGAACTTCTACCTTCATAGCACCGACCTGGGGCTTGATATGTCCTCACAACTTTTTCTTCTCTAGTCTCCTTTTTCCTGTTTGTCCATGGTCCTCTTCCAGGCTTCTCCTCATTATGGCATCTCCCCTTTGGCCCTTCATGTTCTATTGCCTAGAACTGGGTAAAACTTTCCAACTAGTGCCTGGGGCTGTGACATGCCCTCTCCCCCCATCTAGTATGTTTCCTAAACAACACACACAAAAAAACTGGTATAGAGTTGCTGACATTCTTGAGCTTGTGGTCCACTTCGAGCTTGGGATCATTTCTTACCACACTCACGGCCTGACCCCTCGAATGCGCTCTCCTGACTGACTGTCATCCTGGCCCTGTAGGACCGTCCTTGGATGATTTAACACTGCCAGTCCCTTTGAGTTCTCTGGAGTGTCCAGACCCAGGCATCCTGCCTCCTTTTAATTCTCACAATCTCTGCTCCACAATTTTGTCCTCAGGGTGTGCTGGGTGATGCCAGGAGTGGGAAGTCATCGCTCATCCACCGATTCCTGACCGGTTCATACCAGGTGCTGGAGAAGACAGAGAGTGAGTTCCCGGGAGCCCTAGTAAGCTAAGGATTGAGGCCAGGGATCCAGGATCAATGACTAGGCAGTGTGACAAGTGACTAGTCAGGTCTGGAGACCAGAGGGAAGGAAGAGGCCACGATAGCTGAAGTACAGGAAGCATGGGGAGGTTTGGTGACCTGTGACCTCTGACCTACCACTTGAACTCTTCTGGACAGGTGAACAGCACAAGAAAGAGATGTTGGTGGATGGACAGACTCATCTAGTGTTGATCCGAGAGGAAGCTGGGGCACCTGATGCCAAGGTGAGGGGTGTGGTGATAGGGTGGGCAGGCTGGCTGGGGTCAGCACTGGCCGAGGGAGAGAGCTCCGGTTTCCCAGGTCTCCCTCTGGGTGGCATCCGGAGGAGTGGACTTGTCTGACCCTCCACTTGCTCCCTCACCCCCCGCAAGTTCTCAGGCTGGGCAGATGCTGTGATCTTGGTCTTCAGCCTGGAGGATGAGAACAGTTTCCAGGCCGTGAGCCGTCTCCATGGGCAGCTGAGCTCCCTTCGGGGGGAGGGACGAGGAGGCCTGGCGCTGGCACTCGTGGGGACACAAGGTAAGGAGGAGCTGAGGAAGCACTGCTTTCAGGGGGTCCCTGAGACACCGTCGGGGTGTTCCCCAACATAGGTGAGAGCTTGGTGAGGTGTGGAAAAGGCCCCTTGGATTACAGAAACCCTCTGGGAGGAGCCCGGTCTCCAAATAAGGGACTCATTAAACCAAACACAAACTTCCACAGACCTGAGCAGAGAGAAGGGGACTCGCTAGGGAGGAAGGGACAGGTATAGTAGCAGTCTCCATCCCTCTCCTGAGATGTCACCTACCTGGTATTCTCACACTGCCATTTCCCGATGCCACCACTATGGGACATGCAGAAAATGTCAGATCCTAGGGTGAAGAGAAAGCCTTTTCCATCTTCCCCTTGCCACAGCCGGGTCAGGCTGACACCTTTTAAAGGTAAGAGAAAACACAAAGGGGATGGTGGAGAGACTAGAGGACAGAAAACGTTTTAGTTCTCAAAGCAGTGATTCAGAGGCTCTCAGACTTCTCAGCTAGGAGAAGCTTCCACAGGCGCAGCTGTGTTGGGCTGGCAGGACTTTCTGTCTGGACTCCTGTCCTGCGGGTGCCTCCTTCCGCCTGTCGCTTGCCTCCTCATTTCTCGTTGCAAGGAGCAGTCCACCTGCTACCCGTGGACACTCAACCTTTTTCTAGTTCAAATGCCACGTGTCCTCCCTCTCAGTTCAGGGTTCATCGAGTTTGCAGGGCTGGGTGACTGGCCCTCATGGGTCTCAGCCATTTCAGACCTTGTCAGGAAGTTCTGCTCCCCCCTGGAGTATTCGTTGAAGACACACACAGAGCTCACCCAGAGCCTACTCATACTGCAGCTGGGCACGTGAACTGGGCCCAGTACTCAAAAAAGGCTTATCCACTCCCAGTCCCTGGTCACAGGAGGAGTGTTCTCTCATCCCCTGTCCCTAGTGGGGGCAGGGACTGGGACTGGCCCAAGGGAAAGGAAAGCAGGGAAAGTGGAGGAGGGCCCTCATCCAGTCTGGCTCTTCCCTGTCCCCTCAGACAGGATCAGTGCGTCCTCCCCTCGGGTCGTGGGCGATGCTCGAGCCAGGGCTCTATGCACCGAGATGAAGCGCTGCAGCTACTACGAGACTTGTGCCACCTATGGGCTCAACGTGGACCGGGTCTTCCAGGAGGGTGAGTGGGGAGATGCAGGCGTACGTGGGAAGCAGGGAGCTAGAGGCCTGGGATATTCTTAGGGGTCGCACATCCAGGCCTCTCTCTGTGAGTGACAGGAAATCAGCCCATGTGGGAGGGAGGAGGGATGGGGGGGTCAGAGAAGGTTTGCTGAATAGCCACAAGGTCTTTCGGGGCAGGAGGAGCTGGCAAGGCTACAGGTTGTGCAGTGGCCACAGAGACAAGGAAGTTGGGGCCTGTGTTATCGCCTGGGAATTTCTCAAAGCTGGGCACCCAAAGGTGGTCTTGGGTGTCTGCCAGCTCATGCCTCCTTCCCCTCCCCTCCCCTCAGTGGCCCAGAAGGTGGTGACCTTGCGCAAACAGCAGCAGCTTCTGGCTGCCTGCAAGTCCCTGCCCAGCTCCCCAAGCCACTCAGCTGCTTCCACTCCGGTAGCTGGGCAGGTGAGTTGGGGTCTCAGGGTCCACAGGGGGGCTGGTGAGAATGAGAGGAGGGGCTGGTGATCCAAGGACAGGTACAGAGTACTCAAGGAGGTTCCACGGGGCGCAGATGGAAAAGGCCATGACACCGTTTGTAGAAAGTGCAGTGGACTGGAAATCAACCAGGTTTGAAACACCATTTGCAATGTCCTTGAGCAAGTCACCTAAAGCTCCCAAGGTTGTCAGGAAAATTGTATGGCATAATACTTGTGAAGTCAACCTTTGCAAAATTGAAAGCACTATGACAATGCTAGTGAGGAGTTTTATTATTAATGATAAGACAAATAAATGGTGACGAGATCAAGGAATGTCTCGAACTCCTCGTAACTAGATGTGACTCTAGCTTAGTGGGGTGGGGCATCTTGGCTGTTTTGCTGACTCCTCCATCTGCCTCCAGGCTAGTAACGGCGGCCACACTAGTGACTACTCTTCTTCCCTCCCGTCCTCACCCAATGTTGGTCACCGGGAGCTCCGAGCTGAGGCAGCTGCAGTGGCTGGATTGAGCACCCCAGGTTCCCTGCACCGGGCAGCCAAGCGCAGGACTAGCCTTTTTGCGGTATTGGACGTGCTGACCCCCCATCCTCTTGTCCCCTGTTGCCTGCCCATCTTCCCTAGGCCCTAGACCCCTCTCTTGGGCCCTTCTTCATCTGTCCTCCCTGTCCTTCCATCACTGTATCCCTCTATCCATCCTCTAACTGATGCCAATAACCATTCCAGAATCGTCGGGGCAGTGACTCTGAGAAGCGGAGCTTGGACAGTCGGGGAGAGACAACAGGGAGTGGGCGAGCCATCCCAATCAAACAGGTGGGTGGTCCAGGGGCTGGGGCAGGCTGTGGGTAGCTGGTCTTTTTTTTTTTTTTTTTTTTTAAGCTGAGGAAGGTTCGCCCTGAGCTAACATCTGTTGCCAATCTTCCTCTTTTTTGCTGAGGAAGATTCGCCCTGAGCTAACATCTGTGCCAATCTCTCCCTGTTTTGTATGTGAGCCACCACCACAGCATGGCCTCTGACAAGTGGTGTAGGTCTGCGTCCGGGAACTGAACCCAGGCCATTGAAGTGGAGCGTGCTGAACTTAACCACTAGGCCACTGGGGCTGGCCAGTAGCTGGTCTTAACTGGCTTTTCTCCCAAATGTCTCCTTCCATACTCCAGAGCTTCCTACTAAAGCGAAGTGGCAACTCCTTGAACAAAGAATGGAAGAAGAAATATGTGACCTTGTCCAGTAACGGCTTCCTACTTTACCATCCCAGCATTAACGTGAGTGGCAGAGACTGGCTGGTCACGCTGGCCGGCCTTGGCTGCCCCTCCAGCTCCACCAGTCTGTGTCTCTGACAGACACCAACATCATTTCTTGGAAGCTCCAGTCCTGTTCTCTTAAGTTTAGCACGCATGTGCTAGGCACCTCCCATGTGCCCATGCCAGGGATGGAAAGGCAAATACACCTCCCCAGGAACTTGCAGGCTAGTGGGAGAGCATGGAAGAAGGACCTCTGCCTGGCCTGCCATTCAGGGAATGCTTTCTGGAGGAGACAGTGCGGGGCCAATCTGTCGGGCTCATCCCCTAGAAACTCCTCCCACCCAGTTGGCTCCCAGAGTGCCCCCCTAGCCCTCTCTAGCCCATACTATTGGCTGCTTCCCAGCACCACCAAGGACCCCAACCTTCCCTACACTCTCAACCCCTGTACCCCTCCAGGATTACATCCACAGTACCCATGGCAAGGAGATGGACTTGCTACGAACAACAGTCAAAGTCCCCGGCAAGCGGCCCCCGCGGGCCATCTCTGCTTTTGGCCCCTCAGCCAGCATCAATGGGCTGGTCAAGGACATGAGCACTGTCCAGATGAGTGAAGGCCCTGGTGAGTGGGGCTCATGACAAAGGTGCAGGACGGGGGCCAGGGCTGGGGGAAGAGGAGGGGTAGTAGGGAAGTGGGGGCTGGGACTGGATAAGTGGCAAGGTGGGTGATGAAGAGGGACCACATAGGAATGGGGCTTAGAGACTGAGTGGCTCACTGAGGTTTTCTCTTCTTCCCCTTCTGACAGAAGCCACCACTCCCACCCCAAGCCCCAGCCCCAGCCCCAGTTCCCTGCAGCCACCACCAGACCAGACATCCAAGCACCTGCTGAAGCCAGACCGGAATTTGGCCCGAGCCCTCAGCACTGGTCAGTGAGGGCCCACCCTGCATCCACTGGGCTCCAGATCCACATGGGATGCGGGTGGGAAATAAAATTGGGGTGAAGCTTGGAGGCTGGAATCAATGTGTGAGTGGACACAGTGAGCATCCACTGGGTGGCAGGCACCAAGCTCCGTCATACCAGGTTTATCATAATGGTTAAGACAAGTGGGTTCTAGAGCTGAATTGCCTGCACCGGAATCCTGGCTTACCACTTAGGCAAGTGACTTGACCTCTCCATGCCTCAGTTTCCTCGTCTGTAAAGTGGACATAATAGTTTCTACCTCAGAGGGTTGCTTTGAGACTTAAACAAACTGAGAGCATTGTCTAGCACACAGTCAGCCATCAGTGTCTGGAATGTTTGGAAATACATATATTTTTTAAAGGTAGCAAGTAACATTGTAACAAGTGATCCTCATAAAAACCTTGTCACGTCAAGATTATTATCCCCATTGTAGGGATGAAGAAACTGCGGCTCAGAAGGTTAAGTGACTTGCTCAAGGTCTCAAGGCCAGTAAGTGGCAAAGTCAGTATTTAGGTGCAGGTCTGACTCTAAAGCATTCATCTGCCCTCCTCTCCAGGAATGACCAAGGGGGACCTCCTGGAGAGGGACAGCTGAGGAGGGGGACCCTAAAATGCCAAAGCTAGTTCAGGGGAGGAGACAGGCTATGGAGAAGTTAGGAAATCTGTGGAGGGACAGCTGAGGCAGCTATGTCCCCCTCCCTAAGACTGTGCCCCATCTGGAGACCTGAGCCCCCTGAGTCGGGAACCTCCTCCTTCTCCCATGGTGAAGAAGCAGAGGAGGAAAAAATTGACAACACCGTCTAAGACTGAAGGCTCGGCTGGGCAGGCTGAAGGTGAGGCCCCGATGGGCAGTTCCACTCCCACCCTGGACCCTCACCCCCACTCCAGAGCCCTGGCCTAGCTCCTGCAGGAGGAGGGAGAGTGCCTGGCTGAGTCCTTGACTGTCATTACCACTTTGCACATAACCTAGAGAAGAAATGGATGGAGACCCCTCAGCCCTGTCCTTCCTCCTGTTCCCCAGTGGATGCCTTTTACCCAGGTGGTCCCCAGCTCCCATTCTCAATGACCCCCATAAGTCTGTAGCTTCCTGTTCTCACCTTCGACTCCTCTTACTATCCCAGCTCCCACACCCAGAAGCCCCCATGGCCCCCAGTGACTCGGCCCCTGACCTCAGTGCCCCCCATTGACTCCTCCGCTCTTGGACTCTGACCACCCAGCCTCTGTTCCCAAGAACTTCCTGATTGCCAAGCTCTCCCACAGCCCTTGACCACAGTGACCCCCATTCCTGCTCCCAGTGACCCCTCAGGCCCCTAAGACACCTCCTGAACTCCAGGGTCCCCTCCTCCGGGGCCTGTGACCCAGCTCCTGTCCCCTTCTCCATGTTCGCTCAGATCCTGACCATCCCTTCCCCTCCCAGAGACCCAGCTCCTCACTGGTCATGATAACCTGTCCCCAGTGCCCCTGCTCTCTGCCTGGTGTTCGGACCCAGGTTCCGGATCTGCCTACTCTCATGGCTCTTGGCTTCTGCTCTACTCTGCTCCGGGGCCACTGACTTTAGTTCTGCTTTCTCTCCCCACCTGTCTGTCCTGCTTTGTCTCTGGCACTCTCTGTCACTACCTCTCTCCATCTCTCCATCTGCCTCTCTTTTTCTCCTTCTTTTTTGGTCTCTTTCTCTGTTCTGCTCTCCATTTCTATCTCTATCTCCTTCGCTTCGGGAAACCAGCCAAGCGCAAAATGTGGAAACTAAAATCCTTTGGTAGTTTAAGAAATATTTATAAAGCAGGTAACAAGCGGGGAGCCGGAAGGGGCGCTCAGCTGGGGTGCAGAAGGGTGGGGGTGCCCCTGCCTTCCCCTGCATGTGCTTGGGCTTCCTGCTCTCCCCTACCCTCTGCTTCCCCAACCCCTCTGCCCCACTCCCAGGGGCTTGGGATGGACATCAGGGAGGAAGGGTTTGGGGAAGGTGGCCCCTGTTGGAACTCTGTCCCTCAAGACCCCATCCCATCCCATCCCGCACCCAGAGGAAAACTTCGAGTTCCTGATCGTGTCCAGCACTGGTCAGACGTGGCACTTTGAGGCAGCCAGTTTTGAGGAGCGGGACGCCTGGGTCCAGGCCATCGAGAGTCAGATCCTAGCCAGTCTGCAATGCTGTGAGAGCAGCAAGGTCAAGGTAATCGGTCGGAGGGTCAGGGGGAGAGCAGAGGTGGGTGTTTGAGGAGTCCAGAGAGGAGCTCACAGGGAGAGTCATTACTAACCCCCACACTTTTTGCAGCTACGCACAGACAGCCAAAGCGAAGCCGTGGCCATCCAGGCGATCCGGAATGCCAAGGGGAACTCCGTCTGCGTGGACTGCGGGGCCCCCAGTGAGCGCAAGGGGGCAGTGGAGGGGCATGGGAGGGAGCGTGGTTGGCTGGAGTTGGCGAATGCTGGGGTGCCCGTGCTGCTCGGCCGGCGGGGAGCCGACCTCTGCATTCCGTCCCCAGACCCCACGTGGGCCAGCTTGAACCTGGGTGCACTCATCTGCATCGAGTGTTCTGGCATTCACCGGAACCTGGGCACACACCTGTCCCGCGTTCGCTCGCTCGACTTGGACGACTGGCCGCGGGAGCTGACCCTGGTGCTGACGGCCATTGGCAACGACATGGCCAACCGCGTGTGGGAGAGCGACACGCGGGGCCGCGCCAAACCCACGCGGGACTCCTCGCGGTACGTGTGAGGGAAGGGGGGGACTTAGGGTGTGCGGCTGTGGAGAGGGTCCCCTGGGTAGGGGGTAGAAGTCCTGGGTAGGGGGTTCCTGGAGCCCTTCCCGTTGATCCCTGGTCTTGCAGGGAGGAGCGTGAATCATGGATCCGCGCCAAGTACGAGCAGCTGCTGTTCCTGGCGCCGCTGGGCGCTCCCGAGGAGCCGCTGGGCCGCCAGCTGTGGGCCGCGGTGCAGGCCCAGGACGTGGCCTCCGTTCTCCTGCTTCTCGCCCATGCGCGGCACGGGCAGCTCGACGCCAGCGTGGAGGATCCGCAGCTCCGCTCCCCACTCCACCTGGCAGCTGAGCTCGCCCACGTGGTCATCACGCAACTGCTCTTGTGGGTACGTGAGCGGGCATGGTAAAGGGGTCTTGGAGGGCTCCGTCTCAGAACGGCCAGGTGCGGGGGAGCCTGACATCCCCAAAGCGGGCCTGGACGTCCGGGGGGCCGGCGGGCACGGGGCGCGCGGTAACGCGGCGTTTCCACCCTCCAGTACGGCGCCGACGTGTCCGCCCGCGACGCGCAGGGCCGCACCGCGCTCTTCTACGCCCGCCAGGCTGGAAGCCAGCTGTGCGCCGACATCCTCCTTCAGCACGGCTGCCCCGGTGAGGGCGGCAGCACGGCCACCACCCCCAGCGCGGCCACCACCCCCAGCGCGGCCACCACCCCCAGCATCACCGCCACGCCCAGCCCCCGCCGCCGGAGCAGCGCCGCCAGCGTGGGCCGCGCCGACGCCCCCGTCGCGCTGGTATAGTTGCGCAGCGGGAGACAACCCCACTCCCATACGGGCCGGGCACGACACACCGGGTGAACCGCTGGACAGATGCACCCACTCACCCCTCCATCTGCACCCCACCGCACGGGAGCACTTCTTACCCCCACGAGGGCACAGCCCCCACGCCTCCCGGAAGACACAAACACACCTCCCTCTCCCCAACGAGGCACGGAGACCCCAGTTCAACACGCCCCCTCTCCGCTGTTTCCACACTCGGATTGCTCTGGATCTACCCGCTCGGCGTTTGCGAAAGGGACGCCCCGCCGCGGTACCTGCTCCTGGGCGCTTGGATGTGCCCGCTCGCGCCCCCTAGGGGCGGGGGAAAGACTCAGTCCTGCCTGTGTTTGACAATCTCACGGCGGGAGCATATACCCAGGCTGGCTCCTGGGGAGACGCCACGCCAGAGGGGGTGGGGGTTAGTACGTGGGAGGGCTAGCCCTGGGACTTGGGGCCAATACGGGGGACCTACCCCTTCCATGCTAATCTCACTGCCCAGTGAAGGGGGAAGGGCAGCGAGGGGCAGGACCCCTGCTGCCCATGGGGGTAGGGGGTCCCCAACCCTTTCCGTGAAAGGGACCATGAGGAGTGGAAATCAGGACGTCCCCCCACAGCCACCCATGGATGGAAGCTAAAGGGCCGGGGGAACCAAGAGCCTGAGTCCCTCCTCACTACTATCTTGGGAGGGAGAAGTGATGGAGCAGCAGCAGCCTAAGGGGACTGGGGAGGGGCCTTGTAATTTATTGCTTTGTTCCCCAACAAGGGGGTGGGGGCGGGCAGGGCTTGGGGAGGGCTTTTCAGGGTAGGGGAAGCCAAGGGTGGGCAGAGGGTGGGGTGGGGTGGGGGTGCTCTCGGGTTGTGAGTGTCTGTGACCGTGACTGCGTACCTGTGACTGTGCAGCGCCCGTGGTGATCTGGGGTAGGGGGCACCCCTACAATGGGACCCCTCCCCCACTATTCTTCCTGTCCAGCCCCTCCCTCCCACTGGAGCAGCTTCAGACCCATCCCTCAACCCCGCGATTCCTCCCAGCCAGAGCTAAGAGGATGTGAGGTGGCTGGGAGGGTTTCCAGGCCCCCTGCTCCATCCCCAGAAAGGGGGTGGTGGGGTGGACTTCCTCGCCCAGCCCTGCCCCCCTTCATCAATCCAGCCCTTGGGCCATCTGTGTCAGTGGTTTCCGGTCTCTTTTTTTTTTTTCCAGCTAAAATATTTTGCAAAGGACCAGGTAACTGAGGAGGGGAGAGGGGTGGAGGCAAGGGGGAATATCCCCCTCATCTCCTCCGAGGCAGATGGTGTGACTCTTCAACAGCAATTAAAGAGGAAGTGATTTTGTCTAGGGGGTGAGCTGCTGGTCTGTTCTTGAAGAGGCGGGTCAGGGAAAGGCCTTGGTCAAGGTGGGGAACTGGAAGCGGAAGACGGCAAGCAGAGGGTGCCTCCTGCTGGGCTGGTGGCAGGGCTGTATCCAAGGGCACGGAGGGGGTAGGTCAGATACTCCATCCTGTACGGCAGTTCTGGGTTCGTGCAGTGGAAGGAGACAGGCAGGTCAGAGCAACAGTGGGGACCCAGGGAGCAGAGGTCACTGACTCCCACAATGCCTCCTGTTCTGGGAAGGAGGTGGGGTATGGAGCTTAGAGGACAGGGGAGGGGGCCGCTTGGAGGGGTGAGAAGATGGGGTAGCTTTGGTTAAGAGCACAAACTTTGGAGTCAGATCTCATTTTGAAACCAGGCCCTCCACTTCTTAGCTAAGTGGCCTTGGGCAGGTGACCTCCATGGCCTCTGTTTATTTGTAATGTGAACAATGTCTGTTCAGAGGGCACCTGGAAAGGGCTCCAGCTGTGGCTGTGAAGGACTGCCCCAGGCCAGCCTGCTCACCTTGAGCACCTGGTGCCAGAAGTAGAGCTTATAGTAGGGGTCCCTCTCCTGGCTGGGAGGGAAGAGATGGAAGATCTCCTGGCCACAGAGGTCGCTGGTGTCCACAAACTCCATGGCCAGCTGATGCAGACATTTGCCCACCTCCCTGTCATCTGCAGGGTCGCTGAGGCCAGCGCTGCCTCCACGAGCTGCAGCGCCTTGTGGCTTAGCATGTAGCCGGTCCTGCCAGTCCTCGTGTGCAGCCAAAAGCATTTGACCTGGTACAGGGGCCAGGTGGGATGGTGTTGGGCCAGCAGCCAGTGCAGGCTGGGCACAGCCATCCACATGTTGTCAGCCACCTTGACAAACCAGTCAATGGCCCAGCGTCTTCCGATAGAGTTGGTTTTGGCCCTCAGCCTCACAACAGATATTCAGCTGCAGGTATGCCATTGAGCTAACAAGGTGTGGTTGCAGCAATGGCCCCAGGTCGCATTCACATGGAGGCCCTGGTTCTGAAGGGTCCTAGGCTGGGTGACCACCCAGCACAGCAGCTGGACCCGGGAAAGGTGGATTCAGGGGTGCCAGGGCAGTGCAAGGTGTAGATGCAGGTGTGTGGTCTGGGAAGGCAAAGTGAGAGGAAGAGGGGGACATAGCAGAGATTCAATTGGAAGACCTGGCCATTCCCCCTTTCAGCTCCAAGACCCTGGACTCTCCACTCCATCTCCACTTTCCTTCTTGGTGGCAAAAGCTTAGTCCCTTTCTCAGAAGCTCGAGAGTGTGAGAGAGTATGAGGAGGGAACAAGGACCCTAGAGAGAATGACGACCACAGGGAACCACCAGCCCCACAGCAAATGTCTACACTGAGTAGCCTGCTGGATTGTCTTTGGCCCTGTGGGAGATGGAGTGACACAACATGAAGCCCTCCAGGTTGCGGCAGAATGGGACTCTGGAAGGGGACCCCCTGGGGGGATGAAGGGGAGCTGCTGCCCCTTCACATCCATGCCAACTTCCCAGCTCACCTGGGGTGTCCTCACATGGATTCCCGCTGCCATCCGCCATCCGCCTCCCCACCCCTTCCTGGTTGCCATCTGCCACACACCCTGCTCTCCTCCTCTTGTTTGCCTTAGCACAGCTGGGCAGACCAACCCTCTCCATGGGAGTTTTACCAAAAGCCAAAGGGAAATAAAAAGGAACTTATTATTGAAAGTACAAAATGATTAAATCTAGCGAGGTTTCCAGAACTGTTTTCTGATGATGTTAGGACTCCACCCCATCAAATCACAGCTACCCCTCCTGCCCCAGCTTCTCTCCCCACCCTCCCATTCTAACAGATTCTACTGTTGCTTAGATTCCACCATAGCTTCTGATCAGCTTTGGAGATTCCTTCCAAGACTCTTGCCTCCAGGTACGGACTAGTCTCTTCAGAACTCAGGAGCTGGTTTATTACAATTATTGAGCACTTAAGGTAGGCCAGGGACCATGCTAAGAGCATGACACACACATATCTCCTTCAACACCCACCCTACGAGGCCAGTACAATTATCCACAATCTACCCCTGAGAAAACAGCACGTGAAAAGTGAAATGACTTGTTCGAGGCGCCACTGATAGTAAATGGAGGGGCGAGGATTTGAACACAGCACTCTGACTACAGCTGCATTTGAGGCAGTGTCTCAGATCTTGCACAAGTGAAGCCTCCATCCTCTTAAGATACACAAATGATCTGGGCAAGCAGGGTTTTACATGGCTACCCATTCATATTTCTGAATCAAACAATCTAAGCATAACACGCACACTAAGCACTAGTCCACATTAGGCAGGAAGAGGGTGTCTCATAGAACTTCCTTCAACAACTGAATCCCTCACTTTCCACTCTTGAAGACGTGTGAGTCAGTGCCCTCTGTCCTATGTTGTGAGACAGTGGGGAGTCTTCAGCAGGAACGCTGTACACCTCAGAGATGGGGAGCAAGAGGAGAAAGGGGGGAAGTGAGGGGACCCACATCTGCAGTTGGCAATGAGGAAGAGCTGGAGGCATCCACCCAGGCTCATCCACCGCTGGCATACCAGGAAGCTGGCATGTGTGGGCGGCAGCCCTCTCTGAGCATGGCCACAGGTAGAGGTCTTTTCTGGGAAATGTTCACATGGCATGGCCAGGTGGGGAGGGGGTGTGTGTGGCAAGTGGGATGCGTGGCATGCTGCAGGGAGGGAGGTCGGAGGTCAGCAGGAGGATCCCCATGGTGGGGTAACTCCGCGGTGTGCACTTCAGCTTTCAGGATGTAAAGAGGGAGAAGAGAAGGAAGAGACTGGACAGAGGAGGAAAAGGAGGGACGACAGTACTGCAGTGTCTCCGTCCTGGCCAGGCCCGTGGGCTCGTTTATCTGCCCTGGGCTCTTCCTGTACACCAGCCCCCATGAGACCACCTGGGAGGTGGAGAGCACAGAACGGGATCAGAGTGTGCCCTCCACCCGGAACAGAACACCAAGCCTCACCCCTACTTGAGACTCCACCCCACCTACCACCCAAAAGAAAAAAAAAGATTGATGGTCCAGTTCTTTATTTAGAAACCTGATTGTTCAGAAACCTGGTGGGTGGGTCTGTAGGCCACCCTTTTCACTGGGATTGTGTCAGAGGTGGTGGGCAGCTTTCTCCCATTTCCTCGGCAACTCGGAGGCGGACTGTAGGGAACAGTGTGGGAAGGGAGAGGAGCAGGGAATCCGAGGCCAGGCCAAGGGAGGGGTAAGGTGACTGGAGACAGCAGTAGGGCAGGTGTGGGGGGCCTGCAGAACTGCCCCTATTCTTGCCCTCCCTGCTCTACTCTACTCAAAAGATGTCACCAACTCTCCAGGGAGGGCGAGGAGAGGAACCGGTAACAGGGGAAGCCAGAGGGAAAGGAGGGGGAGGTGGGGAGAAGCCTGGGCAAGCAGAGCTCCCAGGCCAGGGGAGGCCGTGAGGGCGGCTCTCAGCAGTCACAGCAGCATACTCCCCCCAGGCCCCTCACACCCCAAGGTGAGGCTCCGAAGTCTGCAGCTGGCTCCACTCTGCTGTTTGCCTTCAGGGCCCCGGGGGTAGGGGGTGGGGAGGAGGCAGGGCCAGTCTAGGAAACTCTGGACTCCTTGGCGAGCAGATGGTGCAGTGGTCTCAGAAGTCAAACTCGTCCAGGTCCCCAGTGCCCTCCTCGCCTCGAGAGCCCCACACCCGGCGGTAATTGCTCTCCAGCTCTTTCTGCCGTTGCCGCTCCTTCTGTGCCTCTTCTGCTCCCTGCACCTGGTTGGAGGATGGGGGTGAGTGCGGGAGGATCCAGGCACTGGCAAGCATGGGGAGGGCAGCGGTTGTGGGGAGGGCAGGGGTTGTGGGGAGGACAGGGGTCGTGGGGAGGGCAGGGGTTGGGCACACACACTTCCTCGGGGGCTCCTGCTGGGTGCCCAGACACCCAGCAGCCAAGACCACCAGCCTCCTCTCACAGATGAGGAAACAAGCTCAGACAGTGGCAAGGCCGGGACGTGCCTGTGGGACTCTAAACCCCGCTCTCAACACCACAGTGTGCTGGGGTGGGGGTGGGGGGCTGGAGGTCCAGGACTTGGTGGTAGGACGCCTCTCACCAAGATATTGAAGAAAATCTCCTTGAGGTTTTTCGTGTCCTCATCAGTCAGCCAGTGCGCATCCTCCTCAGTCCCTTCAGTCCCTGGTCGGACAATCTTGATCTCAATTTTCCCTGGAAAGGAGTGAGATGGGCAGTGAGAGGAGAGGAGGGTGGGAGCTTCCGTGCAGGTCCTCTGCCCCCCAGGTCCCCAGCTGAGGTGTCCAGTCCACCTTGACCCAGCCCCTCCACTTCAGGCAGCAAGCCCTTCCAACAGCTCTTAAGCCAGCCCCGCCCTCCAGGGCCCACCTTCGGCCGTGAGTCCCTCCCTCTCCAGCAGCTCTTTCACCAGCCCCTCGATTTGTTTCAGCTGTGGGTTTTCCCGTTTCATCTCGAGGACAGTCAGATCCTGATTGGGGCCTCTGTGACGGAGCTTGGTGACCCGGACCCGGACTCTGTGCTCAGGATCCTCCTCTTAGAGGGGGAGACACACAGGGAGACACAAAGCAGAGCCGTGACTCCAGGGTTAGGGGCAGCGATGGTCACCTCTCCCTAAGCCATCAGCTGGCTTTGGCAGTTATTCCATCTCAAACACATATCTGAGCCAGGGCTCACAATAAACTAGCGCCCCCCTCCCGATTCCAGCCGATAACACTCCCTCCACTGACTGTAGTCTCCCTTCTTCCCTCTCGACCCAATAATTCGGCCCATCACCTACAGGAAAACAACTGTGTTCTTCAAAGCAAACATCAGGCCACCTGGGCCTACAGAGAAGTTCGTTTTAAGAAGCAGATTGGAAAACTGTGGTTTGGCACTCCACAGGTTGATACTTGAAAGATATTCCAATGTGTATAGAGATAGTGGGATAGAAGGTTTGAAACTGGCACCTTCCCTTTGGAGTGTCTGA